TCCAACCATTTGTCACGACTGGCCGTCTGTTTGTGTGTCTCTTCCCGTTTCAATATAATCAACGCCGCCGTCACTATCTGTACGGTTAGACTCGCGTAGGTTTGCATTGTTTTAGTGGTGGTGTTTGTGGTGAGCACTGGTAGGCACTGGTAGTCAATGGTAGGCAAGCTTTGAACAAAGAGATTAAGTTTTGTGAAGTGTTGTCAATAAAATTTATTGAAATAAAATAAAAAACATTTAATGTTTTGTAAAGTTTTTGTTTTTACTTTGCGTTGAGTTTTGTGTGTCTTTCGATGTTTTTATGAAACTTTTTTTGGTTTTTGTTTTTTATCCGGATTTGAAGGAAATACAGACTAAATGCTCATAAAATGTACTAAAATAGTAAATAGTAATTATAATAACCATGTTTTACTACAGATAATATAATCAGTAGTTTATTTATCAATTATAATATATTATTTAATAATTACAATTAATGTTTTATTTATATATCAAATTATTACTGGTTTTATAAATGTTAATTAATGTTGCTTTTAATCATTTTACTATATTTTATTTTAATTTTATTTCATTTTTACGATATTATTGTAATAAAAAACTTAAAACATATTTAGTGTTCACAGTTATCTGTTAAAACATATAAAACCATATAAAACACACTAAATTTTAAAAAAAATAAAACATGGTTTTATTAATAAAACCAAATTTTGGTTGTTATTAATGTATAAAATGTGATCATATATCCCATGTTTTTGTGAATGTTTAAAAATTATTTATAAATTTGTTAATAATTTTGTATATTTAATTGTTTGACACTAAATTGTTGTTAAATAACTTTGATTTACGTAAACAACAAGATTCAAAACAGCAAATTTTGTCATTGTATATGATTTTAATATATTATTAAACCATATAAAACCAATTTTTTGTAAAATTATTGATGAACCACCATATAACACCAGTTTTTTCTTATAAATAATAAAACCATATAAAACACACTAAATTTACAAAAATAATAAAACCATATTTCTGTGAACACTAAACATATTTATTTCCTATCAATCCTTTTGGCACCGGATTTACATACATATCCCCCCATAAATTCTAGCATTATTACCATCATTAATTAATCAATACAATTATTAAACGATATTTTTTAAAAGTTAGATAAAACTAGTTTAAAGTTATTTTATTAATAAAAAAATTTTTAACAAAAAATTTAATCAAATGTAAGAATATATCAAATCCTAATTTTAACAATATAATATTATATTGCTTAATAACAAAATTTTACATGCCAAATTCTAGTTAAAAATAATTATCAAAAAGTAACTCAATTAAAAATATATAATACAAAGCATAAAATTAATTAACATTAAAAATTAATAGCATAATTATGTAAAATTTAATTAAGCAAGAATATTACATTATAATTACGGTTAAACCGTAACATTAAGTTATCTCAATATTAATTAAAACAATAAATTAATAATACATAACAAACAAGAGTCAATTGGTTGTTTTAAAAATAAATAGCAAAACATTGACAAAACCATATACCGTACTTTAATTACTTTTACATTTTATTTTTAACCACAATTCAGTATAAATAATGTGGTTTGTAGGATCAGTCGGCCCCCTCCTAAATTTTATTGTAATTTTTTGTATGCATTATAAAATATTTTGTCTATATTTAACCTTTTGTGAGGCACCACGTAATAATTAATTACGCTATATGCCAAGTAGTGTTGCAATTTTGCTTGCTGCTGATTATTGAGCATACGTTTAATGTCCATTCCTTTATATTTAAGCGTGCATAACTTTTCAACGCTATTGTTAACCATTTCAATTGTAACATTATATCCACCGATGAAGTTTCTTTTTTTCTCGACATTATATCTATTCGACAACGTTTCGAGCCATTCGATTGTATCATTATTATTTTCAACAGAACACAAGTACATAGGATTATCTTTCAGATAACTAATATGCTGTTCGACGGGATCGTGACATATATGTGGCCAAGCTGGTGACATAGATTTGGCCATAAAACAGGTTAACATTGCCATTGTCTTAATGATTGTATAAACTTCGCTCAATAGTTCTTCGATCCGTCGGTTAAGATAAAGAATCTGTTGTTCTTTGAGCTGAGCAATTAATTGAAGAGATTTTATCGCATTATCCGTATTCTGTTCGTTCAATTTGACCATTTTTATCTTGGTATCATAAAATATATGTTCTGAGTAACTGTTACCGCAAGTCATGCACCCTTCAGGGTGAGTTATAGATTCATAATAGGTGCAATTACCAATTGTGTGATTACGAATTTGGAAGTAACTGCAAACATTCCTATTTCGATTTATTGGTAAGAATATGATCTCAACCGATGGAATGTAAAACTCTTTGTAGATATTTTCAAGCAATTCGTTGTGATCATTAATTTTAAGTTTATGTTTTTCACATTGATTTATATTAACCCCAATATTTATAGCAATCTCGATCAATGGTTTGTTTAGCAAATGTATGTTCTGTGTAGCGTTATTAACCGATCCGACGTCCGTAATTTTGAGAGGTGTCAAATGTTTAATGTATGTTAATAAGCGCAACCATTCGGCGACCGAACTATTTATCCAATCAGGAAACGTAATTAATAAGCATTAAACAATTAAAATAACTAGCAGTTCATATAATCCCTAGTATTTTCTATTGTTAATAACTTTTAAAATATGCGAGATAATTTAATTCGGATTTCTTAGATTATTAATAATACCACGTTATCAATATCTATATTATAAATCACGCCTATATTACTTTTAATATACCTTAAATTGAATTAAATTATATCTTAACTTTTAAAGTTATTATAAAAACTGTATGCTGGAGATTAAGTGCTCGCTAGTTTTATACAAAAATTTATGAAATTTAATTATAGCATACCTATCCCAACTTTCAACATAAATAGATTTATATATTGGATTAAAATTTATATTATTTGTCATATCAGTGGCCACAAGGTATCTAAAGGAGTCGTTTTCAAAACAATAAATTATATTCTCGTTATAAAGGGCGTCAACATTTAGCTGGTTGTTTCTAATTTGGGACAAGATGCTCATTAATTCAGATCCAGAATCAGCGGGTGTGTCGTTATTGTGACGAATGTTTGTGCATATAAATAATATATTATTTGACACCGTATTATTTAATTGTTTGAACAAATTTAATAAACACTTCTTAAAAAGGTGATCATATTGTGATTTGTTGTGCTTCAAACACACACAAAAAGCATTAATTTCGCTATAATTGCTTATAACATCCAATATATTGTCCACATATCCATTATCACTATCCAAATAATCCACAATTCCGGGTGTATCGATAATATTAAGAATAACGTTATCGGTTTGAAATGTATAGCATTTAGGGTATTTTGTGGCAGATTTTTTGGTATATGTGGTGTTTTCATTCACATCCAGATCACCCAATGTCACCCTCACATCTTTATAAGTTTTTGGGTCAACAATTGTAAAGTTTGCTGGTATAAGACATATAGGGTGTCTATTGACTGTATCGAGGTTTTCAAACGTTAAATAGTTTACGAATGCGTTAATAAATGTAGACTTTCCAACACCTGACTCACCCAACAGTACTATTGTGACCTCTTTTTTCTACATATTCGGAATATAAAATGGTTACTATTAAACATAATATATTATTTTATTTTTACATTTGAACTGTTTTGACTTTTTCATTTAGCAACATGAGATATCAGAATAGTAATCTGATACAAATACCTACTTGGTCATCTATCTGGACGTCAATTTTGTAGTTCTTATTAATTTTTAACTACTATTCTGATATGAATAATGTGGTTTATATGATCGTTCGGCTACCCCTCCCCCGGCCCCCCCCCCGCTCTATGGGATTTAACATGGGATTATAGCTTAAGTCTATGGCTATACTTTAACATGGGAAAGCTTATATACTGACCCGAGCTCTGGCTACTAAAATACTGTTGAGTGCCGTACGGGGACTGTCGGCCGATGCCGTGGAGTTTTATCGAGAGAGACTACACATGTAGGGAAACGGGATGTGTGTCCCTCAGCCTATGTTCTCACCCACGGTCTCAAAGGCCACATTCGGGTAGTCTTTGTCGGCATTAGATTTAGTGCTCAAATAAGTGATGGAATGGAAGAACTCAGTCAACGGTCCCGAAGCGTTGGTGAAGTAGTCGTGCAGTTGGCGTACCGTTAGCTCACCCGCCGGATGGACAGCACCCGCATCTCTGACCAGTGTTGGCAAACTGATGGACGGGTGGTCTTTGAGGTACTCACCCACTGGTAGGTCCACTTTCACCGGTATTTTCATTGACTTCAGATGCGCTTTGGGTCCGATGCCCGACAGCATTAGCAGTTGTGGGGTATTTATAGCACCTGTAGGTTATAGGGGGGGGGTAGGGGAGAAAGTTTACCATTATGTCATGTTTGAACACTCTGGAAATATTTTCAATAGGGTTATGTCACCCATACATACCGGCGCTAACAATCACCTCCCGTTTAGCCTTAACCACATGTGATTTACCATCTCGATAAAACTCCACGGCATCGGCCGACAGTCCCCGTACGGCACTCAACAGTATTTTAGTAGCCAGAGCTCGGGTCAGTATATGTAGATTCCGGTGGTGGGGGTTAGGGTCCAGATAGCTGTTGGCAGTGCTCGAGCGCATGCCATCCATGCGTTGAAACGTCTGCATAAGACATGTGCCCACCTGTTGGGGGCCGTTAATGTTGGTATTTTTGTGACCTAGTTCATGTAGGGCTTTCTGGTGGTACCGCATGATGGGCTCCGGGCGGTCCCACGAGCGCACCTGTACGGGCCCGTCCACGCTATGATAACCCGGGTGTTCGGCCACGAGTTTAGGATCGGTGTTGTTTTCAAATCTCATGAAATATGGCAACACATCCTGGTAGGCCCAGCCCCGGGCCCCGTACTCGCGGGCCCAGTGATCGTAGTCACGACTATTACCCCGATTGTAGATAATGGCGTTCAATGTGGACGAACCGCCCAAAACTTTACCCCGATTTTGTGGTATTTGTTGTCCAGTGAACGCCACACCAATCCCTCCCTGCGCTGTCTGCGGGATGTTTTTGTAGCCCCAGTCGTACTCAGTGTTCAGGTTTTGTATGTAGTTTTCAGGTATGTCTGTAATGACCGATTGCGGTCCCCCGTCCTCCAGCAGTAGTACAGTCACAGCCGTGTCTTCGGTCAGCCGGTGGGCTACGGGTGCGCCGGCAGAGCCCGAGCCGATCACTATGTAGTCGTATGAGTCCAACCATTTGTCACGACTGGCCGTCTGTTTGTGTGTCTCTTCCCGTTTCAATATAATCAACGCCGCCGTCACTATCTGTAC